GCGACCAACCTGATCTTACAAGACCCACCTTGCTATCGTTGAGCTTGTCCCATTGACGGACCTCCTCCTGTTGCTCGCGGAAATGCTTGACTTCGGTGAGCATGCTTCGTTTCTTGGAATAATGAGAGGTCGATGCTTCAGTAGCTTTCTCTTGCGCAGACTTGGCAGCTTCGTACGCAGGAGCAAGATCAAGGGAACTGAACACTGATCAGTACAGTAGCGATTGTCAGAAGCAATGACGCACCCGCTGATACGGTCAATGAGTCTGGCAAGGGCTTTGCTATCCTGACTGGCCACTCCTTCGACATCACCCTGAAACACCAAAAAGTTTTTGGCCTTGACAAGAATGTTGAATGCCGCCAGCCTAGCATTGTAGTCTTTCCAGGCGACAGACTTGTTGTTTAAAAAGTAAGAGGACGCGCCAGACATGGAGATGCTACGACAGCGTCAGCCAAGGTTGTGTGCCATTGACGCGACATACCTCCTGCGGAACGTCCACTCCTTGTCGGCCTTTTCGTCGTGATAGACAGCAGACACCCATGCGCTCTTGGCGTCATTCCCGAGCTCTGGGTCGGTTTGTGTCTGAGTCTCCTCATCCACCGATTCGTCGTCGTTTTGAGCGGCCCTTCGTCCTCGATAGATGAGATCCTTCAGCTGCGTTGAGCGCAGCTGGGCTGATTTGACTCCAAGCACGAAAGAGATGGCGTCCATGAGGTTGGATTTGCCGGCACCATTGGGGCCGATGATTGATACAAAGGGCGAGTCGCCCAATGAGATGACCTGTGGAGGGGAGGTGAGCGATGGCGGGCGAGGGGGGGTGTGCGTACCTGCTTTCCCCTGTACGACTTGAAGTTGTACAGCTCGAGGCGGAGGAGGGGCATGGTGGAGGGATGGGGGAGGGGGATGAGAGGGACGCGTGCGAGTAATGTCATCAAGTTGACGCGACTTTGAACGCGAGCCAGGAACATCGCGCCTATCACCGGGGGAGTCCCGCGCGCCTAATGCGGGGCCAGTTCGGGAGATGGGCCGGATGCACCCGAAGGGCGGGGACGATGAGTGCAGAGCAAGTGCAGAGGCAACAGCATCAGTCCCACATCCACCGCCATGAAGGGCAGCCACGACACCGACCACGACGACGACCACGGCGACGACCACGATGAGAGCGACCACGACCACAAGTCCCTCAAGGGCACAAAGAAGGACAAGGACGATGCAAAGGCCGACAAGAAGGGCACCATCAACCGCGTGAACAGTCAGTCGTTCCTCAAACCATCCATGCATGTGCTGACCCCGAGCAGGAGCCTGTGTAAGTCTGTGTTTCGCATGGTAGACGTCTTGCCCGTGGCGTGGAAAGAGCGGCGCAATGACCATTTGTGGCGGCATGCTGACACGAACCAAGAACAACTGCCGCCGTATGAAGATGCGCTGCGTGGGCGCTGAAGATCCACCCTGCAAACGTTGTCGCAACAGTGGGCTGGACTGTATCATGGAGAAGCCCGGCAAGTCCACGAGCGGTGGTGACGGGGCAGGTGCAGGCGAAGAGTATGTCGCATAGGTAGCCGACACCAGACAACGCGCTGATGGACTCTAGCAGCCGCATTCGCACACTGGAAACGCAAGTGTCCTCAATACAAAATACACTATCCGATCTCGTATCCACTCTACGAGCTGGAATGTCTTCATCAGTGTCCAACGGCTCGGGACATACCCCCGTCAACATCACCAGCACGACGCCAGACTATGCTCCTTCCGGCCACCACTTTGGCTCTGGCCTCAGCAATCTAGCACTCGGTCACAATTCCGCATCTCCGCCTGTGCCAACAGGTACTCTGGATCCGGGTTCACATTTCAGGCAAACTGCCTCCAATGCGGGCTTGAACGATTTCATGCCGCCACCGTCAACCAACTTTATGCACCAACATGGCAGCGACCCATTCCGGCCTTTCACGTCAAATACACGTGTTCAGCCCTTGGGCTACTCGCAGAATCAGAATAGCGACCAAACGCACGCCGCTCGACGCCCTGGGTTACTGGACGACGCTTCGAGGCGGCAGAGCTTGCCCGCATGGCAGAACGGGCCTCATAAAAGAGACGACGGGCCACAGCACCCGACAAAGCACATGTCTCTGCCGCCGTCTAGAGCCGGGTCTGTTGGGCCGCCAGATATATTTGGGGCCGAAGAAATCATCAACCCACTAGGAGGAATGTCTAGTATGGCAGGGCTGGTGGAAGCGGCCGTAGAACGAGCTCGGCAGGAGGAGGCAGCAAAAGTAGCTGGAAAGCACAAGTCCTCCAATGATAGCAGCCATGCCAAGAGAAATGCAGAGGAGATGGAAAGTGGGCCGTCTGAAGATACTCAAGTCTCAAAAAAGCACAGGCAGGATTCCTTCAGCCCTTTGACACCTATAGGGAGTACCATCATTGAGGCTCAAAACTTGCCTCCTCGAGCTATCATCCCCGGCATGCCCGCAATACCACAAACCACACATCAACACGCATACCCTGATGTTGTCAGTGCCAGATATGTGAATGAGGAGGAGGGCAAGGCAATGATGCAAGTGTATGTTGAGAATCTCAACTGTCAGACCACTACTGATGTAAACGGACAGGTTCTACTCTGGATCTTCCAACTTTATCCCATGTTACGATCCGTCTGTCGACACTTGGGACTCGTAAGTGTGACACTTCATCTCGTTGTCTAGCTGACAACTTTAAGTCTCCGTCATCGCTCGCCCTTTTCAATCACCGCCATCATTTGGGCAGGCGCTCGGGTGCGGGATGGCGGCGGCCCTCACAGCGAGACTCAAAAAGCCTGCCGTCTTCACGCAGAGCGTATAGCAAAGGGCACCCTCTTTAACCCTGTACACCGCATCGAAGCTGTCCAAGGCATGCTTCTTCTGTCGGCGTTCCAGGATAATGGCTGGCTTCCTGGAGGACATGCGGTCAGGATGGCAATCGATATGGGCATCAATAGGTCGTTTATTCATCTGTTAAGGTCCGGCATGGGTAAAGGCAAGTCGGCCGAAGAGCTGGAGCAGGAGAGGAGTCTGGTGGTGCATTCAAGAGTGTGGTTTGGGGTAAGTGCAATGTATGGTGGAGACCTATGGGCCAGCTGACGTGAATCCTTCCAGCTCTATTTGATGGAACATCAGTATGTCGAATTCTGTACTCCATGACTGAGACTGACATATACTAGGATGGCGTATGGTACTGGACGACCGGCTATCATTCGAGAAGACGAGACTATTCACCAGTGTCGAAGATTACTAGATCACCCATTGTCAATCACCTCGGATGCCCGTCTGGTTTCAACGGTGGAGCTGACCGCTTTGAGATGTAAGCCATCGTCCACAAAGAATGAATCCGACTGACGAACGATCGCAAAGCTCCACTGCATATTGAGCTCACCGCAGCGCCGGATTTCCCTATCGCTGAGAGCACTTTGCGGAGGTTGAAGCAAGCCAATCAAGACTTTGATGCGTGGGAGCGATACTGGGATAGGATCTTGAGTAAGCTTCCCTCACCGAACGTGTGAGCGGTGCTGATAAACATTCAAAGCCGACCGTTTCAAAAAGGGCAAGGGCGATTTCTTCAGGGAATCGTTGGTGATTCAGAGGCAGTATGCTGAGCAAGTCTGGTATCACCATGTCAAGGCGCTGCTGACCTGATTTTAGACTGTTTGTGAACTCCCAACTCTTGCGCGGCGTCAAGGAGCCCTCGGATGTGGTGGGCATGCCGGAAGAAAAAAGAGCGCTGGCAATCAGGGCAATGAGAAACGCGCAGAAGTGCTTGGATATCTGTTTACATGGCGAAAACGTGCGTCCTTCCCATCGGTATCTGCCCAAGCTGATCTCTCTAATCAAGTACCGTAACGGGCTTCGATACGCCGTTCATTACACTCGTAAGCGACTCTGCTCGATACGCTCGCAGTTAAACTGACTGTGATGCAGACGTGTGCGCAGCTTTTGCTGCCTCCTTCCTGATCCGCATTGCTCGTCTTTTCCCGCACGAGCTAAACCTCAAAAAGACAGCCAAGGATATCGAAGAGCTTGCCAGTATTCTGGCCGACAGTACGTAGCAAATGCCCCCGAATGACGGAAATAACTTACACCTTTCATAGTCCCAGCTGGAAGATATGCGCGTTCTTTGAGATTAATCCTTCGGAAAGCTCGCCGACAGAAAATCATACCTGCCCCCAGTGTCCTCTCTTCGCCCAACAGGCTCAACGTTCCGCTCCCAGGCGCGACACCCGCTGCCATCACCACTGCGTTCTCCCCCTCCCAGCTGGTCAATCCGGCATTCTACGGCGCCAGTCCAGCGGCCCCCCATATTCCTGGGAACACCGCGGGGGCAACTTCAATATCTCCCAACCCTTCATTGCTACTGAACGCAACGAATCAGATAATCAACGATTCACCGTCTTCGGCCGAATTGTTCGAGTTTGATTCGATCTTTGCTCACGAGACGATGGAAAAGGCAGGAATACCGCTTGGCGAGAACGACCAACTTCCACTGTATGCTCCATCTAATCTCTCGTGTCTTACAGGACGCTAATGAATCATAGATTCCTTGACGGGCAATCTCTCGGTGGATCGGCGGGCCCTACTGATACTGCCCCATACGTGGGTTTGGAGCAATTCTTCATGCCTCAAGATGTCGACAATCGTTTGGTAGACCCAGGCTACAATGCCGAACAGCAAGCCAGCGGCAGTAGTACCTTGCCAACCAACGTATGGTGGTAGAAAGAATTGCAGGAGGGTGGCGACGAAGGCAGTGGGCGAAACGAGGTTTCCGGGCCGTATAGGTGCCCGTAGCTCTGTACTTGTAATGCTTCTTTTTGGGTTTCAAAAGACACATCTTTCGTATTGTACTAGGTGAATCCAGCGAATCATGTAAACATACAGCCTTCCTGGCTCTCGCAGATCCATTGCTATATGCCGTAGGGATGGACACCACATCTTAGTTTGCTTCTATTTGCTCAGTGATCTCGCTGGTTGTCACCCATCGATCCAAGTCTATACATCATCGGCTACGACTCTGTAGACAGTCCAGGCGTACTTTTTCATAATCAAAGACAGAAATAAGAGATTAAGATAGGGCTGTCGGCGAGTGCTATGACTTTTTCAGGTATTTTCAAAAGCTTGAAAAACCCAATTATTCCACTTAGTACTCTTCCTCCTCGAAGTTGTCCATCTCGCTGTCGATTCCCACCTCTTCGTAATCCTTTTCCAGAGCCGCAAGGTCCTCTCGGGCCTCAGAGAACTCTCCCTCCTCCATACCCTCTCCAACGTACTGAGTCCGGTCAGCAAACCAGTAGAAAAGAGATAGCATGGAATCAACTCACCCAGTGCACAAAGGCTCGCTTAGAGTAGAGCAAGTCGAACTTGTTGTCAAGTCGGGCCCAGGCAGTAGCAATAGAAGTAGTGTTGGAAAGCATGCAAAGAGATCGAGAGACCTTGGCGAGGTCGCCACCGGGGACAAGCGCGGGAGGCTCGTTGCAGATACCAATCTTGAAACCAGTAGGGCACCAGTCGACGAACTGGATAGTCCTCTTGGTTCGGATGTTGGCGACAGCGGCCTGGACGTCCTTGGGGACGACGTCTCCTCGGTAGAGCATGCAACAAGCCATGTACTTGCCCTGTCGGGGGTCGCACTTGACCATCTGGTTGTTGGACTCGAAACAGGCGGTGGTCATCTCGTAGACAGAGTTGGACTCGTGGAAAGCCTTGTCAGCAGAGATGACGGGGGCGTAAGTGGCGAGAGGGAAGTGGATACGGGGGTAGCTGTATTCTGTCAGAACGAAGCTGGCGCTTTTCACAATGTACTCACGGAACCAAATTGGTCTGGAACTCGTTGAGGTCGACATTGAGGTCACCGTCGAATCGAAGAGAAGCAGTGACGGAGGATACAACCTGGGCGATCAAACGGTTCAAGTTGGTGAAAGAAGGAGAGGTGATACCCAAGTTTTTGCGGCAAATGTCGTAGATGCTGCAAACCGTCAGCACACATACGCATTGACATCGTAGACTCACGCTTCGTTGTCAACCATGAAGGAACAGTCAGAGTGCTCAAGAGTAGTGTGCGTAGTGAGCACAGAGTTGTAAGGCTCGACCACGGAGGTAGACATCTTGGGAGCGGGGTAGACGGAGAATTCGAGCTTGGACTTTTTGCCGTAGTCCATCGACAACCTCTCCATGAGGAGGGCACCGAAACCAGAACCGGTACCACCACCAAAGGAGTGGAAGACAAAGAATCCCTGAAGACCGGAACAGTTGTCGGCGAGGCGTCGGACTTGCTCGAGAACGCTGTCGACGAGGTCCTTGCCGACAGTGTAGTGACCACGAGCGTCTGATCCTAGTCAGCGACGCCTTCGTATGATCGTGACACTCACAGTTGTTGGCAGCGTCTTCCTTGCCAGTGATCATGGTCTCGGGGTGGAAAAGGCTTCGGTAAGCACCGGTTCGAACCTCGTCCACGACATTGGGCTCAAGGTCGACCTGGACGGAGTTAGGACGCGTTGTTTGACGAGGTAGGTACTCACGTAGAGGGATCGGGGAACGTGCTTGCCGGATCCGGTCTCGGAAAAGAAGGTGGAGAAACCGTCATCGTTGGCAGACGGAGAGCCTTCCATCAGACGACCGTCAGGCTATCCGAAGTTAGTTCCCACTTGAATCTGACACGCGCGAATCTGGGAACGCGAGAATCTGACACGCGTGAATCAAACACGAGGATCTGACACGCGCGATTTCGACACTCTCGTCCGTTTTTTCTCTCCCTCGTACACTTCGAGCCCCCACGCCCTCGTAAAGACAAGAAAGATACCCACAGTCAGCGAGTGTTCTAATAGATACAGCTCCCAGCATGCGTTTCCTTAATTACGTAATTAGCATTTAATTAAGATACGAGTGTAAGAAGTGATAAAAAGGAGAACATACCTATCTGTACACCCGCCTGGCCGACGTGCAACTATTGAGGCATGAGCGACCTCCTTGTACGAATCCAGTCACCCCTCTGGATAGGGATGCACGCGACGACTCACACTGATGACTTCTCTCATGGTGATGGTTTGGTGTATATGGGGGACGAGGGTTCCAAAGAATTCGGTGTTTGCTTGCAGTCCAGATCAGAGACCGTTCGAGAGGGTGTAGGATTGGTCGAGAGACTGCTGTCGTTGGCGAGGTGGGAGTGTAAGAGGGGGGAGGAGATGGAGAGGGAGAATAACAAGTGGGCTAAACACGCGCATTGACTTCGGACGCGACTCTGTGCGCGCGTCGGCATTCTGCGGCGTTATCTCACATGTGGCACTGAGGGGGGGTCCAATGCTATGCTACTTGTACTAGCTCTTCTGCAATCCCGACTCGAGACCCTTGTGCAGGGATTGTGTTTGTCTACGATGCGTGTGCTCCACTCACGACCCACAGTATCCCGTGTACCTAGGCGCTATATATCAGATCTCGCGGTATCTGGCTACGAAGGAAATGAAATAACACACTCTCTGCGCTCAGCCGACAGTCGACTACTACACAACGCACCATGGCGTACTTGGACCCGTCTTTCAGCCGTCTAGTGCGGTCTGAACCCAGACGGCCGAGTTTGTAGATGGACAGTTCTTGCAAGCGCGACAGCCATATACTAATCAGCCGCGCGATGTCTGCAACCTTCTGCGAACGATGCCATCATTCTTCTGAGGGTCAGTCATCGTTATCGACATGTATCATAGCATAAACGGCCGTGTCGACATATTCTACATGACCATATCGAGGCCTTGGGTCGCGCCTATATGAAGTCCCCTGTCGAACTTGAACCTAAGCTATTCAGCCATGCATCTCTGTTGTCTTATATCTAGCCACTACAATTATACTCTAGGCCGTACTTGTTGCATCACGCTCCGTCTACTCGATATGCGGTATGCGGGAACCTCTGGTGATTAGGGGCGTGTGTCGAGCAAGCCACGAGCACGAATGACAGTGCTTAGAGCGGGAGGCTGATGTCGAACGTTTGTTGAAATACGATTCTGAGGGAATGAAGTCGAAGGGGCAAAGGGAGCGGTGTCTTATCGGTAGTACTTGCATTGTTGAGACAGGCATTCATTGTTTGTCTAACATCGCTGCAGCAACCACGAACGCATATCTTCAAGCACCTTCTGTCGCGGCTTGTCATCCTCCTCGTTTGAACCCAGTCGAAGCATCACTAGACACATTATGAGATACAATAATCGGACGAGCCACGACTCACCATGTTCGTAGCCGTCATAGATCTCCAGCTCTTTGTCATCATTGGGCAATCTGTCAAACAGTCTCAGAGTGCCCTTGTGCGACGTTGCACGATCCTTATTTCCATGCACGAGTCGGATGGGCACGTCAATCTCGTGCGCGCGTTTCTCAAGCTCTGTCATGCCCTCGAGGCATGCGAGACCGGTACCGACCCTGAGCATCCCGTGATAACATAGAGCTGCAATGATGTGAGCGTGATACTTGGTCTCAAGTGATACTTGCGATCTGCAAAAAAGTCCTCCTCTACTCGAGGATCGTCAGACACGTTGCCTCGTACAGACTTGGCAAGGGGCAAGCTGCCGCCAAAGAATACGATAGCACGTCCGATGTACTCGAGGATTATGTTTGGTCGAGACTCTTTGGACACTGACAACATCAGCGATAGCAAAAGATTGTAGGGCGTACCTTCAACCATGGGACAGAGCACAAATGCACCGGCCACTTGCGGCCTGACCTTTTCATCCGCCTGTGACCTCTCGAGGCCGTCGTATCCCTTTCCGCCTTCGGGAAGGGGCATGTCGGCAGTCGACTCTTGGGTGACAACCTCTTCTGCGTTGTTTGTCGGAGGATACTTCAGCAGATAGTAGAGACTGTCATGGGTCAGGGACGTCGCGTATACATTGTGCTCACATTGTCCATCCTCCCATCGAAGCGCCGCTCAAAAAGACCTTTTTCTGCTTACGTCCGTTCGCAATATCGTTCTGCGCCAGGTCGGTCAAGACAACATGTACAGCGGAGGGCAATAAGAGAAGCGACGGGAGGTAAGAATTGATGCCGGTAGATCTCCCATACTTGTACATGTCAGTCGGCTTCTACGGAGCTTCCACTTACAGAAGGTAGGTCAAGAACAATAACTCGAAACCCAGACTTGAGGAAGAACTTAATATGAGGCGCATACCTCAGCCCATAGTCTCCCAGTCCTACTTTATCAGCACGATCTATAGGTCTGCCGACTCACCATGAACCAAGACGAGATCCTTGCCAACACCCCGGCCGGCACCTTCCCATCCACCCTCTGGTGGCGAGGTCATCTCCCACGTACTGTATGTCACCCATCTTCCTCCCCATTTGACACTAGACGCCAATTCATCTTTCACCAGATTGACGTTCTCCGCATGGATGATCTGGGTGGTATCCCAAGCCTCGTGGTAGGTCTTGAAAGAGGTCGTCGGCGGAAGAAACACCCGGCGATAGTTGTGCGAGACCGTTGGATCCTCCACAAGTGTGAGATGCGGCGGATGGTTGGGGAGAAGGTAGCGGCCGTAGGCTGAGTGGGGTGAGTGGTGTTATACACGTGTATACTGAAGAGCATGGCTCACTGGGGTCTTGGACCTTGTACAGACCCATCCGCACTAGATGAGGCTCGAGGACCTCCCTGTGGGGATCAGCTTTCGCCTTCGGGCATAGCGGTTGCTCACCAAATGGGATTGTGGAAGGGCATGTTGTCTAGAGGGTTTGATTGGATTCGCTGATGGCCACAGATCCCAGGGAGTGCAGAGGTGCAAGACTGTCTGATGCAAACTCATGTCCATCATCTTTCGGTACGCCGGCAGAGACTGACCCACCCTATTAATACTGCGCGTAAGTATCTGGCTAAGACAAATGATAGGCTGTAACCAACCCTGGTCGTTCAACATCTGGCAAAAATCTCTCTCTTGCCGTGACCTGGTCTGTCTTCGTGCTGTCTTGTCTATATGAGAACTCTTTAACGTCTCATACGTCAGTCTATTGCGATGAGGCCGCTTTTTTCGGTCGTTCTCATCATGTCAATCCATTCTGCAGACCTCTTTTCTCCCGAAAAGTCTTAGGATTGTGATGTGATGGGACGTCAGCGTTCATGTACATACGGGTCAATGATGCATGTGTTATCTGGTGGCGAGAAACAAGCTAGCTGCTCGCAGCTGTTTCCTCAACGCGGTAGACACGAGGTAGGCGAGCCCCGGGCCCGAAAAGCGTCCCGTCAACTGTGCATGCAGGGCGCCAGATAGCCTCAGTCTGACGTGGGGTGGATATCAACTGCATGGTCGATCCCGAGTCATTGATGGTGGTGCACATGCCACACATAGACAAAGCATCCATGCCTCCCCCGCCGAGGAATGACTCGAGGCCCTGCGCTCAAGAAGGAGATCCTTTGGTCGCATTGTAGGACGCGCATGCATTGTTGTCGGCGACTTGTGCGCTGGCCAAGGCAAACTAATGGGGAGTCTGGAGAGATGGGGAAGGGAAAAGAGCGTGATGGACGGACGAGGCATAGAGAGGACGTTCGGATAAAGAGGGCGCGTGGATTGCATCATAGGCTCTTTTAAGTATAAGTAGCTCGCTCCAAAACAGCGTCCACGGCCACCACAGCGAATCCACTTTCCCCCATATCCCTCTCCCTCTGCACCACAGCCAGACATCACAGCGTAAGTCCCACAACCCCCGGGCCCCTCGCCTCCCCACCTCCACCCTGCACACACCGCATCTCCCCCCCGCTCCTATCAAAGGATCTCTTTTCAACATCTTCCCATTCCCTCCAGATCCTTGCTTATCCTCCCGTCCAGTATCGCCCTATAACGGACCCCCATACGCCTTCCCCATACCATTCTCGTGAGTGTCCTCGTTTCTGCGTCTTCTCAGCAACAGCGCCCTCCTCCATTGTCCCTTCGCTTGCAGCGCATGACGCGCGTCACTCTTCTGCGACCGACCTGCAACGACTTGTCTCGAGGCTTATATAGGTCCTGCGAAGACTGTCTTTGTGCTATTGCCCACATGGGAGATTCTCGACAGGCGCTTTGCTCGCAGCTCGCAGATATTGCCCATCTCTCGCACGCGCTGATCCCCATCACAGTGTCAACTACGTAGCAACGCATCCGTTCACCCCTAGAACCACGCATCAACATGTCTTTCAAACAGATCGGGAAAGCCAAGGTGGGTTGCGTCGCCGTGGCAGGATGCTTGGGCTTACAGTGCTATAGTTGACTACTCCCAATAACGTCCTTTTCATCGACAATGAGGTCCCGCCTTCCAATGCCGCCTCTGCTGTCACAACCCCCACCGAGCAACATACCGATCCCTTTACCTCTACCGCCGACCGCGCAGATTATCTGACCAAAGCGCTTGAAAAAAGCCAAGCCCCTGGCCAGGAGACCGGATTGCCGCCGAACGGAGTCTCGAGAGTGGGCAAGATGGGGCGAGAGGAGAGAAAGTTGCCAGACATCAACGCCGAGCCTTCAGAGTACTACGGTGGTGCACAGGTCTGGAGCCGAGCGAGAACTTTCAGTAATGTGAGCCATTTCATTCTCGATTCACCAGCTGCTTACTTTGACCGCAGGCTGGCGGCGCTGGTGACTACAAACGTAGGCCCCTGCAAATGGGCGGAGAAAAGATCGGCAGGAACCGTCGGCTGTCTCACGATGAAGTCACTCCCTCTGCTCCCAGGCGATACTTGATCGATGTGGAAGAGACCATGAGGCTCGTGCTTGAACAAGAAGACACAGACAACAAGTATGTACTGTTACTCGTTTGCGCCCTCCTAGCTCAATCTTTGCAGCTTCCAAATTTCTGTCTACGACTCTGGACCCAAGCTGCTCTCACTCGGGACCGCCAGTTCCAACGCCCACAAAACATTCGACATCCGCGTACATTCTCATCTGCAAAGCGGTTCGTTGGCTGACGCACAGTAGGGGACGTATATGCTTTCAAACTTGCTTCAAGAGCTCGCTCTAGCCAAAGACTTTGGTCGCAAGCGCATTGTCCTCGACGAAGCTCGATTGGCCGAGAACCCTGTTGACCGTCTTTCCCGCATGATCAAGAATTCGTTCTGGAATGCTCTCACTCGTCGAATCGACGCGCAGGGTCTTGAAATTGCGTGTGCCGACCCCAAGAACAAGGATCAGAACGCCGGAGCAAGAATCTATATTCCTCACGGAGAGGACGAGATGGCCGAGCACTATCGCCAAATGTGAGTCACGTCGGCTTCTGTAAAGCAATCGCTGACTGGGAGCAGCGGTCGAGACAACCCCAACCTCAAACTGGAGGTCAACATCCTGCCTGTTCACTGTGACGACCCTGCCTATGTCAAGACTCTCAACGACAAGCCTGGTATCTTGGCCCTTGCTATGGACAGGAAGGTGGATGCGGACGGCAAGGTCACTCTGGATGCCATCCCCTTTGTCGTCCCAGGAGCCAGGTTCAATGAGAAATACGGATGGGACAGTGTACGTCGGTCTTGAGCTACATTTTTTCCTCAACTGACACGACGCAGTACTTTATGGCTTTGGGGCTTCTCGTAGACGGGCGATTGGATCTTGCAAAGGGCATCGTAGAGCACTGTATTTTCGAGATCAAGTACTACAACAAGGTTCTCAACGGCAACAGGACCTATGTGAGTTGCCCATTCGATCGACATGGTAGACGTAGCTGACAATGTCTAGTACTTGTGCCGATCTCAACCACCCTTCTTGACCGACTATGCTCTTCAAATCTACAACCAATTGGACCGAAGCAAGCCCGAGGAGAACAAGGCTTGGTTGAAACGTACCATCCGGGCCGCTATCAAAGAGTACCATCGCTACTGGATGCAGGAGCCTTCGCTCGACACCGTCAGCGGGCTTTCTCGTTATCGCCCTACAGGTTTGGGTATCCCTCCCGAGACAGAGTCTACCCACTTTACCCACATTGTCCAGCCTTACGCCCAGAAGCTTGGCATTTCGGTCCTGGAGTATCTTGATGGCTATGATGACGGCACCATCCTCGAGCCGGAGCTGGACGACTACTTTATGCACGACCGTGGTGTGCGAGAGTCTGGCCACGATACCTCCTATCGACTTGACAAGAAGTGTGCGGATTTGGGAACAGTGGATCTCAACTCTCTGTTGTACAAGGTATGATTACGATGTCTCACCGATGCGGGTGCTTACCCGGCTTTTAGTACGAATTCGATATCGCCTCTGCTATCCAAGTGATCTTTGACGATCATCTGGAGATGGACGAAGAGTTTGAGTTGTCACCTTGGCCCATTACCCCTGAGGCTTTCAAGGAAGGTGCACCCCGAGAACTTTCCACCAAGGTTGTCCAGACAAGCAAGCACTGGTTCGAACGAGCGGCGAAGCGAAAAGAAATCATGGACAAGCTCTGTTGGAACGATCGTCTGGGAATGTACTTCGACTATGATACCAAAGCCCGCAAGCAGACCCGTTACGAGTCTGTGACTACTCTGTGGCCAATGTGGGCTGGTATGGCGTCTGAGGAACAGGCTTCGATGTTGGTGTGAGTAACTTTGGTCTATCAAAACAAAGTCCGCTAAGCGACAACAGGCACAATGCTCTTCCCAAGTTTGAGGTAGCCGGTGGTCTTGTGTCCGGTACCGAAGAGTCTCGAGGCATCATTTCTCTCGATCGTCCTAACAGACAATGGGGTAAGCAGTGTGCAACTTTTGTGGGCTATACTGACTGCTATAGACTACCCCTACGGCTGGCCTCCCCATCAGATCATGGCCTGGGTAGGGTTGGAGCGATATGGTTACATCGATGATGCTTCTCGACTGGCTTACAGGTGGATCTATATGTGAGTGTGTCCATCGTGTATAAGGCTTGACTGATCCGTTGTAGGATGACACTCTCTTTCATGGACTACAATGGCATCGTCCCCGAAAAGTTTGACGTTGTCGAACTGAGCCACTTGGTAGACGCTGAATAGTGAGCCTTGCCGTAATCAAGACTGACAAAGCTCATAAATTGTAGCGGTAACCAAGGCACCGACTTCCACTTTGTGCCCAGAGAAGGCTTCGGGTGGATGAACGCTGCTTACCAAGTTGGTCTCCAATGCTTGTCAACTGGTATGCGCCGAGCCATTGCCAACGTTGTTCCTGTGAGTACTGGCAATGCCGTTCGTTGATGTGTGCTCATACGCAAATGTAGACTTGGGAGTTCTTCAATCTGCCTGCCCCGGACTTTGACTTGGCCGCAAAGCGTCGTAACGAAAGAGATATCCACGACAAGGCCGCTGCGGCCTCTGGCCATGGTGGACAGCCCAAGAACGACACGCACAACCAACCCCCCTCGCTCGAGCAAGCTATCGCAGAACTGAAATTGGAGTTTTCAGGTCCTGCCAAATAGAGAAAGGCACCAGACCATGATGAATGTGCGGCTGGCGGATATTGGTCAAGATATGTGTATTCCTATAGACCCTACATTACGATAAGTTGTGAGAGACGAATATGCATGGAATCCTCGTATTCCGCCACACTGTCCTCCTTACAGACACAGAAACGACCTCATTGACATCCCTTGAGGAGGTTATGGCATCCTTTGATTACTCTTGGACCCCGCAAAAGGGAGTCACTTGTCGACAAGAGGATGTCATTGGCAACAATCAATCAACAACCGACCAGCCTCACCCCCTCACCCCAGCGACCTCTTCTATACACACCTCTCATCCACACTCACCGCCACTCGTATACCAACCCAAACCCGTGAAAACAGTCGTTATAGTAAGGGCAATATGGCAGGACTGGTCAACGGGCCGTCCGACT